TGTTTGGCTACTCTTGCTCGATCAAGACCCCTGTCACAACTACCCATCCTCATAAATGAACTTGTGCAACTTCTGAAGCGTGTCAGAAAACAGAAGTCAGAAAGTAAGTACTATTTTCACTGTGCATCTGATGGTCCAGATCAAAGAATACTTGGAAAGACACTTACTGATCTCAGGAGCGCGATAAAATCTACTGACAAGATAAGGTGTTATGTCGTTATCTGCAACATGTGATGCCGACCCAAAATCACAAAGTTTTAGAATAGTTTTTGATTCATTAACCTGAAAAACAAATTAAAGTTCAAGGAAATTTAATTCAACCCATAAACTAACACAAATAAACTTCACTACTGTGAATAAAGTCACGAGTTTTAACATTTGTGTCTATTTTTATAAGTAACTTTCCTAATTATAAAAAATGAAGAGCTACCAAATATTTGATTACCATAATTTAAAAAAAACAAAAAACTTTTTACTAAGGAAATGTAGGGCAATACCAATTCATTTAATTTGTACAAACATTTTAAAAAATGGAAGGTGGTAAGAGAAAAATTTCATTGCAGCAAAGCCTCTCCTAAAAAACCCCAGAATACTTGAATAAAACCATGGTATTATTAAAGGAACCAAAGATACTTATTAAAGACCAAGTTAACTTTCAATTGCTAGTTTATGAAAGTGATGATTTTACATACCCCCCCCTCCCCCCAACCAGGGGAATGAACAAGAGAAAATTGGGTGAAGGGAGACATCGGTCAGTGTAAGCTATGAAAAACTTGAAAAGTTGAGCTATGGAAAAAAACCAAAATTTATAAATTATCAAGGGTTCATGAGGGAGGGAGGGAGGGAAAAATGTGCTGAAACCAAAGGCTTAAGTAGAAAGAAAATGAAAATGATGATGGAAACAAATGTACAAATGTGCTCGACAAATGGATGTATGCATAGATTGTGATAAGAGCTGTATGAGCCCCCTATAAAATGATTTTTTTTAAAAAGTTGGATGATTTAGATAAAATTCTGCTAAAGTCAAGTAACATTCTTTTCACTAGAAGTTACCGAACATCTCAAATGCAGCAGTCACTTGAAGTCTAAAAAAAATTAAATCCCTTAAATATAAATGGTATAACTAGTAAATATCGATAAAATTGATGAACATGATCTCTGTATTAATCATTCAATTCCCCTTTCCTTTGTAAATCCGTCAACACGCACAGTATTAGTGACAGCTGCTGAGAAAGGATGGAGGCATACCCAACTGCCGCTACTCATGAGCCAGAGGCATGTTGAGGATTAATAAGTAAAGACAACTGATATTCCAACATCCCATTCCCCCTTCAAAAGACACACACACATTCTGAGTTGGACCCTAACTTGGCCTATTATTCCCTCCCCAAAGACAGACCTCATTATAAATAGCTCTAGGCTCTTTCTACAGGAACATCATGAGGCTCGGTCAGTATTATGTCTGGTCATTGGTCTACTTATAAATGATATATAAAGATTTATACTAAGAACAGAAATGATTACTTAAAAAAAAGCATTTTATTAGGGGCTCATACAATTCTCACCACAATCCATACATACACCAGTTGTGTAAAGCACATTTGTACATTCATTGCCCTCATCATTCGCAAAACATTTGCTCTCCACTTAAGCCCCTGGAATCAGCTGATCACTGTTTCCCCTCTGTCCCCGCTCCCCAGAAATGATTACTTTTAACCACTATATCGATAATTATTTTATTTTGAGAATCAGGAAGTTAAAATAGAAAAGCATTTCTAACGCTTTTAAAGTATAGGCTGGATTCAGCTACTTAAAACCCATAGAAAACTAAAAATCATTTTTAAAACGATAATCTCTTTGGCATAATTAAAATGCCTTAAATAACAGCAGAGTATTTTAATTCACAAGCATTTAAGCTTGTTACATGAACTTCTATTCCCTTCATAGTAAATGTGGTGTTTCTACCCAAGTAATGGCTGAAATCATGGGCTAAATGATTCACATGTTCATTAACAAGCATTAGCTTTATGCAATCTTTTGAGTTTTTTCTTCTTCCTGATACAGAAGGAAAAACATGCAATTTCTGAAATTCATGGGAAAACCTGTACCATTTTAGGATTACCTCCAGGAAAACTGGGCTAGAAAATAAAAGCTCTACAGTGACTTCCATCAGAGCCAGAACATGGTAAGTGACCTTACTCCTCACAAGTTTTCACCTGTGACGGTGGACAGCTCACAATTTTCTTACTGCTCTCTACTAATGGAAAATCTTTGCGTTTTCCTGCTCTGACAGGTTTCTGCCTCACACAGGCTCCAGCTTTTGCAGGTGTTATATTTGGTGTATAATTAATCACCTTGTAACTTGTTTCTTCTTGGAATGATACATTTCAGAATCGAAGAAAACAAAACTTCAAGTGAAAATTGACTACAAAGTTGGTTAGGCAAATTTATTTATAATGTACTTAACATTCTATTAAAATTACTGATCTCTCACACCCCTAAGTTATTTTTGGCATATAATGCAACACAAACACAAAAGAGTATCTCATCATTAATGTAGCAGTCCAATGAAATATTAAGATGTTAAAAGAAATGCAAACCTGAGTCAAGAGCTAGGCTCTTGATAAGGGCATTAACAAGCTTTAGAGATAACAACCTTTTTTGCCATAGCTCAAGTAGTTCATAATGAGACACTATATACTATATATATCAGTCTTGAAAGACTTTTCGAGACAAAGTAGGAGAGGTGATATAAGGTAGCCACGTTACAATAAAAACCCCAAGCCAGAACAACAAAAAACAAGGAGTATGTTACTGCCACATAAACTAGGACTTCTCCAACTGTGAACATTCCCCAAGCTGTGAGCGGTACAGAAGTCATGAAGAGATATCCAGGGTGGAGGAAGTACCTGAGCACAAATGTGTTTAAGTCACTCTATGATGTGACAAATACCTTCCTATTTCAAAAGTATCAACATGCTGGAATGTGCCTATTACACCAAAAGTCAGTAGTGGAAGTTAGGACATTAAAAGGGATGTTTTTATTATAGTATCACATACACCCCACTGGGTTTTATGATGTTATTTCTCGGAATCACCGTTGGACATTTCCAATTCAATTCCATACATTTGCTTTAATAGAAGCCAACTCTATGAAATGTCCCTAACTCTCTCAATCTGTAAAACCGAGAAAAGGATAGCAAACACTCCTTTGTCTTAAGACAGTCTCACAGGCACCATACTTGGAGTTACCACACAGGAAGGCTATCATTACATTAAAGAGGTTTGTGAGGACTCTAAATCCAATAATCAAAATAAAACAAGTGGGAGAGCAGCATCTTTCCTAAAGTTTCACACCTGAACTATCAAGAGTAAATTTGGCACTGGCAAAGCCATTCAGTACTGGGTAATTAGTATACTACATTATGCACTTACGACATCATTTTTAAAAAAATACGGTAACAATTTAAGCGCCGAGAAGAGATATGGATGTCTGTGAGTCTAGTTGTTTGACTTACCAAGATATTGTCTGGCTTGATATCTGCATGAAGGATATTGCATCTCTTAAGGAGTTTCAATGCCAAGAACAACTGCTGACTATAGGATCTCACAGCTTTAATATGAAGACCAACATCCTTACCATATTTTTTTAGTACCTCTCGTAAATTCATACTTTTAGGAGAAGAAAAAAAATGAAATCACAAGTTAAAATGCAATATAGAAACACATAAAAGGCAAAAACATAATTAAAAAAGATTTATGAACTGAGTGAGGGTTTACAGAACAGATGTTCTATTTAACACACTGTTTCATCTCATTCACTGCAAATGCCACAATGTAACATTAGTCCCACCTCTTCCCTGTGGTCTCCTGTCGCCATTCTTCTTTCATAAGCCTTTTGAACTTCACCCTATAAAGGCTGACCTTTTGGCTTGAAATGGCTGATTATGGTGTGCATACCTCCCCTAATGGTTTCGTTTCCTTATTGTCTGGTTGAAAGGTGAGTCACGGAGCGAGTTTATCTGCAAACCTGTAGGCTAACTAAGCATCTCCGAGATTCTACTATGTAAATTGGATTCTAACCAGTAAACTTGGTTGTAAGGTCAAAAAACATTTTCATGCCTAATTCAACTCCTCCAAAAGTTAATTATTCTACACTAAAACAACAGCATGTGCAAAAGCAGAGATACCCCAATACAAATTACCCAATAAAACTCAACTTTCAAAATTAATAGGAGGGAAGATATGCATGGCAAAACTCCCATTTTATCTTTAGAATACATTTTGGATTTATAGGTACTACAATGAATATATGCAATTGAAGATAAAATCGTATTTGTTGACACCACAACCATTTCTTAGTATACTATCTAACTCTTCTCTAACTCATTTAAATTTCAGATTCTTTCTATTGACCCATATATAGGTTACATGAGAGTAGTTGCTGGCACATACTATACAGTCAACTAATGCTTTGTATATACATGAACACCACGAAGTTCTGATCGAAGGTGAAAAACAAAACAAAACAAAAAACTAAGAACTAGAGTCATCTTAAAAAACAAAAACAAATAAAACAAAAATTTATCACAGCATTTCCTCCAAAGGAGATCAGTAAGTACGGACACACTAAATTCTTAGTTTAACATGTAGGTTTTCACATTGTACCTGAGAGGCTCAAACACAAGACAGAGATGCTGTTTGTGATAAAAATGTCGAAAGAGTCGCAAACAGTGAAATTTGTCATCAGGATCAGCATCATTAAGTTTTTTCAAAAACTCAAGTTCTTTTAAACCAGTCTTTTGCCTGAAATAAAATGGGAAAACAGGTAGAATTGAATATATCCAGTATTCAGATAAATAAATAGCATATATATGACTCTCAAGCATTTAGTATATTTTGAAGTCCCGATGTGTTGAAGGATAACAATTTATCATTCAGCACATGTGCTACTTAACAACTTTCATTTTCACAGATGAAGTTAATTTAAAAAACAGTTCGCAAAATGGAAAGACTGAATACATTTAACCTTGCTTTAAATCAATCTTGGACATTGTAATTTAAAGTATCTTGATACAATTATTTTTTTTAACACAAACAAATTCTGTATTTGGATTGGTTCCTTTAGAACCTAATGTTGGACACATCCTTAACAATTCTAATATTCAGATAGTCTTTGAAATTCTGTCCTGATTCTCAATAATCTGCACTTTAAAAATCTGCAACACATCAAGAGCTTTGAAACCCATATAAATGGACCAGACAAGTTCAGTATGTAGCACAGATTATATATTAAAGCATATGGAACTGACAATTATCTATGCTACTAGAAGAAAAGAGATACTAGTAATAGCCATAACTATCTGATGTATCCATTTTCACTTTTTGTGATATAGCCAGCGCAGGAAGGCGGTCTAGTAAGCTGTGCACTGAACCCACGAGTCATTCCAAGGTAGAAAGATGAAACTATCTGCGTATGAGAAAGTCTTTGACTCAAGATTCAGAGACTCAACGGGGCAATTCTATTCTGTCTTACAGGGTCCCTATGGGTTGGAATTAACTCGATGGCAGTACGTTTTTAGGATACAATCAATGATAGTGAATCAGTGTGAACTTTTCATTTCTTATCTTTGGTCTTTAGAGAGTTACACCAACAGATGACCACATAACGAGGAGGAATGGAATCTTGGTAAAATGGAATCTATTGATCTTAGTGTCTACTTAATGTAGTACTCGCACATAGTAAGTACTGAAATGAATTAAATAAAATTAGTCTATGCTTCTAAAACTTTATATCTAACAGTGCTATGTATAAAAAATCCATTCATTAGTCACTTTATAATCACAATGTTTTTCATGAATTACTTTATATATAATAGGCATGTGAAAAGATATTCACTTGTGAAGGTTTACCAAATATTCACCACTTATGATTTGTAAACGCACATGAGCTCGTTGTTCCTGATGATTTTTACAGCTACTTCCTGGTTGGCTCTTGCATTATCTCTGGCTCGTACAACATTACTGAATACACCTTGACCTGTATAGCCATACACATTGTAACGCTTATCGAGGACTTCACCTATGTTCACACCTGAAAAGCAAGTTAAAAATCAGAATTTTCACCATAATAAAATCACAATACTAAACTATGAGAAACATAAATAAGTAGGAAAGAGGGAATTTAAAATTACTCCCAATCTTTATTATATGCTGTTTCCTAGATACAATGGAGTATACTTTCCTACTGTAGCCAAAGCTGCATGTCCGTTTCACATCAGTATGAGTGCTCCTAATCCAACAATTGCCCTGCTCAGTCAGCTGCTAAGAAAAAGGAGAGTGGTTTGAACGCACCAGCCACTTTGCAGGCGAGAGGTGGGGCAATCTTCATCAGGAGAGATCACATGCTCGGAAAGCACCCTGCTGTACAGGGTCACCGTGAGTCAGAACCAGTTTTATTCAGGTCATGCTGAATAAAACTGCTGATGATATTAACACGGAACAGGGAAAGGTGCTCACTGTGCTTTCTTGGTTTCAGATCCAGATGTGTACAGTAAGCCTTCATTCTGTAGCGTTAGCTCATGGCTGAAAATAACTTTGGATAGACTTAAATTGTGTATCAAGTTTTTACCTCCTTTCAATTTGTGGTGCGTTTAGGCTGTTCTTTAGTATATACCATGGTTCACGTAGGTGCAGGATATGCCATGTTCTTCAAACCACAGCAAGGAGCTCGGGTGGCATATTAGTTACCTGTTGGGCTGCCAACTGTGCCAATGGCAAGGTCAGCTACTTGAAACTACCAGCCTGAGGGAGAGACACAGGGCCTTCAACTCCTGTAAAGAGCTAGTGGCTCAGAAACCCCCAGGAACAATTCTACTCTGTTCTAAAGAGTTGCTAAGAGCAGGCTCAACGGCAGTTTGTTTTAAAAGACTGCAGTGCACTGTGACTTTTTAGAGGTTCCCAACCATGAGTGAGTGCACAGAACCACAAGCTTTTTAAAAAAAGGTTAAAATGAACTACAAAGCTATGAAGAAATATGTACTTACGATAGTAGCCTTCTGCATCAGTCCAGTTGTCCCTGAGGTTGGGATTCTCTTTAAAATCTTTCCCAATGCCAGCAGCCCGAAGACGAGCACTCTGAAAATGAGGCAGCATGTATGTAACCCACCAGTTAGATACTTAAAGCACTTGCTTTAGAACAAAAAGGGACAAAAACTAGCTAACATAATAAAGAATTTCCTGTAAAATTAAAGGACTACTATCATTTATGTAAATGTAATATATAGGAGCCATTGATTAACAAAATGATTTTATCACAATAATGCCTACGACAGGAAAAGCTTTTAGGACCTATACCTAAGGTAATACATATAAAAAAAAACTCAAAATAAGGTTTCATTTTCAGTAATTAGTTATAAGCCTACCCTACCCCTGAAAAAAGAACCAACAGACCAAACCCACTGCCACTGAGCCAATTCTGACTCCTAGTGACCCATATAGGACTTTCTGAAACCAAAGCTTTATAGTAGACAGCCAGATCTTTCTCATAAGGAATGGCTAAGTGGGTTTGAATCTCCAACCTGGCAGTTAGCAATCCCAGGCCAACACCTAATCCACAGTGACTAGTACTCATTTAATAACGAAAGGTTCTCCCTTCCCAATCATTCCTTCTTTTATTGCCTTTCCATACATGCACAAAATATTATCAGCCTTAGTCAAGTTTATGTGGGTAATTAAAAATTTAGAACACCGGGTACTTATGAAGAACCTATACTACACACTGACTTCCAAGAAAACTAAACTCTTTTAATATCATATAGCCAAATAGCAGCTCAGGTACTTTACGTGCTTTAGCAATCGTACCCTCTCTTAATCCATCTGTTTGTTGGTTTCTAGTTGTAAAATATATACAGGCAATAATATAGCACTTATCCTTTCCACAGACACCTACTTTAAAATACATTTTTGGTTTTGATTTTTAAAATGAAAAAAAATGTTTTAGTTTAGTTTTTTTTTTAAAGTTAGGAACCCTAGTGGAAGAGTGGTTATGTGTTGCATGGCAACTGGCAAGGTCAGCAGTTTTATTCTGCCTGATGCTCCTTGGGATATAGGAAGTGCTTCCTACTCCCATAAAGAGTTGTCCCACCAATCTACAGGGGCAGTTCTACCCTGTCCTACAGGGTCGCTATGAGTTGGCTACAGATCGATGGCAGTGAGTTTGTATTTTTGAAAGCAAGTTTAACAAAACTGACAAATCTTTAAGGAAAAAAATAGCTTAAATTTCAAAATATCTAATACTGTACTCTAAAATTCCCCAACTCTTAATTAATTATATTACGCTCTAAATCTTTTAAGATCTTGATCATCTACAAAACAGAGGCTCAAAGTGGATCCAGACCTTGTTCTTATTAAGGCCTGGATAATACTGACATCATTTTATAGAACTTATTACATACATACGTTTACAATGGTGTGTGAATCTGAGAAAATTAAAATAAAAAAATTACTTTCTAAGCCACTCACTGACTTTTAAAAAGCTCTCAAACTGTTGTGCTATAACTCAAATTTAAAAATTCTTTTAAATGTTGACATAATTCCAGACTTAGAACGTTATATAACCAGTATAGTTTCCAGAGAGCCTTCACCCAGATTGTTCAAAGGTCAACATTCAATATATTTAATTTGCCTTTCTATCTCAAGATACATACCATGCACATTTGTGATACATACATGTTTGTGGTACATTTTTTAAAAACCCACATATTGTCTAAATGTTTTTATGACTCTAAAACTACATACATCGAAATATGCAGCAAACATGTCATCAGATTCTGTAAACATATCAGGTGCCAACAGCTTCTTCTGAGATGAACCTTAAAGAGAATCAGTATTAAAACATCAATTAGTATGTGAAAATGAATAGGTACAAATTAAAGCCAAAATAAATCAATGGACAAAGTATTAACAGCAATTCAAACAATCTCACAAATTTTTAATATTCAATTTAGTATCTGCTTATAACAAAAAGATAAAATTATCCACTTTTCACTGAAAGGATGCATTTTGGAATATCTAGACTTTCAGATCTAAAGACTTGATACTTTCAGGAAGTATCAATACTTTCACTGCTGTTCATTAAATTAATATCCAAACCATTAAAAATAACTATAAAATAAGCAACTATTAGTCTCTTCCATCTTGAGGAAAGAGTAAAGAAAATAAAAGATACATGGAAGTAATTAGTCTAATGGACTAACGGATCACGGAAATCTCAGTCTTCGTGAGTCTGAACCCAGAAGAGCTAGATGGTACTTGGCTAACACTGCCAACTTCTCTGACAAAGAGCACACTTCTGTACACCTTCTTTGAAAGGTCCTGAATAGAGTGGGAGAAAAATGCAGAACAGAACTCTGAATCATAAAGGCTTATTGGTTGGACAGACTGGTGGAACCCGAGACCATGGCCATTAGTCACCCTTCAGACCCGAAACAGAACTAATCCCCAGGGCTCAATTTGCAGCTAAACTATAGACAGGGCTATCCAGCAAACAGTAACACTAGAGAGAAACACATTCTCCAGAATCAACAATCTTTGAGATCAAATACAGCAGCATTTAAGGCAGAAAAGGTGAGGAAAGAAAGAGTAATGAAAATGGAAAACAGGGAGGAAATAAAATGAACGAATGTTATATTATGGGGACTCTAAACAAAACATCTATCAACTGCTGGGTGAAAAACTGATTCTGTAACCTTTAGAAAGGAAAAATAATACCTATTAAGCAAATCTAGAAAATAATCTCAGAGCATGGGGATGTAGAGAGCTGGTGGTTCAGGGGATTATTCATTGGGCTGCCAGTGTTAAGGTCAGCTATCTGAACTCATCAGGAGAAACATGGGGCTTTCTGCCTTTAGTGAAATACTACATAGAGCCCTTTAAATCAGAACAGACTTGAGGGCAACGGGATAGTGTACTGCTTTTGGTGTTTAAGTAGAATAAAATGCACAAACACACAGAAAGAAAACTGACATCTTTTACCATTTTTAAAATGGTAAAGCATCTCATTTTGTAGTCCTAACTTTGAAACCATCTAAATATTTTAATGACGGAAAAAAAAAAAAAAAAAAGCCAAACGATTTCAAAAATGCAAAACCAAGCAAATAGATACACCTAATTTTATATCCAATGAGTGCAATGTTACGAATTATTTTTGGATATACCCTAAGGACACAAAAACCTGAAATTTAAATCATGCAGTTCATTTTAAATTGATAGTAATGTTTATGTATAAAATGAGGACCTAATGTCGGGGGTTTAAATGGAGAGAAAATGTTTTGAGAAACGATGTACAAATGTGCTTTACACAATTGATGTGTGTATGGATTGGGATAACAGTTGTATGAGCCCCTAATAAAATGTAAAAAAAAAAGTTTCAAAGTAATAATGTCATTATTAGTTGCCATCTAGTCAATTCCAACTCAAGGTAACTCTCTATGTGCACGGTAAATTGATCCATAGCTTCCGAAACAGTACTCTTTTGTAGGTAGATGGGTTTTCTGAAGCAACATCTGGGTGGGTTCACCACCAGCCTTTTGGCTAACAGGTGAGTGCTTTACCACATGTAAGGTGCATAGCACACATAGAAAATTTACAAAAGAAGGGTTGTAAGGTTTGAAATAAAGCAAACACATTGGTTATATGAAAATACGGTGTCTGTTTCCACCATCTAATGGGACTCTTGAGATACAAATATAAAATCAAAGTTAATTAAAGACTTTATATTCTAACACATCAATTGATCATATTTAACAAAAGCACGATTTCCCATCTCTGCCCACTCAAGAGTGAGCTGGTGAAGAATACGGGCAGTTCCATAGATTGCCCAGAGGAACAAACACATCTGTCCTGGAAGAAGTATAGCCAGAATGCTCTTCCGAGGCAAGGATGGCGAGCCTTCATGTCACGTACTTTGGACATGTCAGGAGAGACGAGTCCCTGGAGGGACAGCATGCTTGGGAACGTGGTGAGGCACGGCAAAAAGAGGAAGGCCCTAGACAATCAGATTGACACAGTGGCTGCAACCATGGGCTCACACATATGGACACTTGTAAGGATGGTGCAGGACCCGGAAGTGCTTCATTCTGTTGCACACATGGTTGCTATAAGTCAGAACCAACTCGATAGCACCTGACAATAAAGACAAATGGTAGAAATGTCTTTTATAGCTATTATATTACAGCTAATGATTTTAAAAGATCAAGTGAAAATTAAAGGCTCTGTTTTGATCTCTTAATAAAACAATAGAGCTAAATAATGACCATCAGTGATTGGTCTAACCATGAAGCAAACAGTGAGTGGACACTGTATGAGGGTAAGTAAAAAATAGTGCTTCTAAAACTTTTAAAAAGTAAAAGAAAAACAACAACAAAAAAGGTATTGCTTCTAATGTTACGGTTCATACATGCATGGGCTTATTATAAGCAAATATGTTATTTTTTAAACATGTCTCCATGATCAGTAGGTAGCTGCAGACAAATTATCTTGGCATACTTGTCTTAGCCTCCCTTAGACTTCCTTTAAAAAAAAAAAACAACCACAAGTATAGCCCAATTCAGAAAAACAGAACAATGCTGGTGAAGGTATGGAGAGAATGAACTGGCACTATCTAAAATAATTGGGAATAGAAATACTCTATGACCCAGCAATACTTTTGCTTAGAATATATCCCAAAGTAAGGAGACAACATGAACAGACATATATATGCTCTGCCATGCTCACTGTGCAAGAGAAAGCTAGAAACAGCCCAAATGCCCATCAGTACAGGAATGGGCAAGAAACTGGTACATATATACGATGGAATGCTATACACCCCTAATAAAGTCATGAAGCCATGAAGCTCATGACATGGATGGATTTGAAAATCATTATGTTGAATGAAGTTAAGTCAATCACAAAAGGGCAAATCTTATATGAATCCACTACATAAAGATAAAGATCAAAAGGCAGGCTTCTGTTCGCAAGTCATTTAATCTTGTAATCCATTCTTCTAAGGAACAAGGGAGAGGTCCTGACTAACGTCCCTGAATCATATATAACCCCCTTTAGATACCTTGAATACCACTTCAGCAGGAGACTTCGCTTCAGCTGGGGTCAGAGAGAGAAGACCATACAGTTGCTGCCATACAATACTGTGCTGTGGTGATCACTACAAATCAACACATTTCTATGTGAATGATAACACACCTTGGTGGAATTCAAGATGGGGGAGTGAGGAGTATGTCTCAGAAAAGGCTATTACATTGCTGTTGGTGGGTAAACCAGGAGGGGAAACCTCCCATTACGGGAAAAAAAAAAAAAAAAAAGGCATTAACAATACTTTATATGGGGCTGAAGGTGAGAATATGCCAGGTACTGTGCTCCCAACTGGACACTTTTCACCAAGTTTCTATCTAGCCCTAGGTAACCAAGGCCATGTACTATACACTATTTTGACTTTACTCTGTCCTTCATAAGCCATACCAGAAAAATTCAATTAAACTAGGCTTCAGCCCAAACTCACCTCTAGCAGATTTATGGAAGGCAGTATACGCCCTCGAACGTAAGGCCGGAAGGCCGAGTGAGAGCAGCAGCAGATGACGGCTATCCCAAGGTCATGGAATTGGCAGCCATTGCTTTGGCTCAAGTACCTTGCCTTGAAAATGCCCAACAATTGGTAGCCCGAGTCCACCATATATTCACTATTTTAAATGCTCTCCTTGCTTTTTGACATGTACCAAACTTATAGGCATGGGTCTGTCTTTGTGAATGAGTTATTTGAAGTCTTGCCCTATCACTAACTCCCAGTGTTTGTATCAATAGTGTCTAGTCACTTGAAGAGTTTAATCTGCATATATGCACAATTCATGTATTGCAGTCTGAATCTATACTTGTATCATTTCCTTTCCCCAACAGTGTTTTAAGCTGTATATCATTGTTTAAATTAATGACACCATCAATAGGATTACCTTATGCCCCTAGGGGAGGGGAGGGATGACCTATAATGTTCTCTAATGAGGATGCCTGGTGGCACAGTGGTTACACACTGGGCTCCCATCCATAAGGTCAGCAGCTGGAAACCACCAGCTGCTCCAAGGGATGAAGATGAGACCTTCAACTCCCGTAAAGTCTCAGAAACCCCAAGGGCAGTTCTACCCTGCCCCACAGGTCACTATGGGTCCCAAGTAAGTTGAAAGGAATTCATCGTAAAATGAAAATAGTATCTCTAAAATGAACCAGAGACATATATAAATCAGATATATAACTATATAAACCAGATATATGAATGAGTTGAGCCTCACATTTCATTCTAGCATCAATGTAAAAATAAATTCTTATGACACGGCCCAGTGGATGCTTACTCTCATGAAGAGACTACTGGAGCTAAGGGTGCTATAGCAAAGTATGTTGAAGAAAGCAGATGGTGCCAATTATCAAAAAAAAAATAGCAGCCGGGGTCTTAAAGGCTTGTGTTCAAAAAAACATCCATCTAAGTGAGAGTCAACTAAGTCCACAGGGTAGAACATCACCAACCTGTACGATACAGGGACTGTAAATAATAAAATCCAAACCGGAAAGAGGGAATGGCATCAGAGTTTAAACTGCGAATAGCTGGCTTTGCAGAATAAGCCACCAAATCCATTTGCAGGGCCCTCACATGGATTAAATCAGGTGATTCACCTCTGACCATAGTTGAGGAATGGAATACCCTTATTATCAGACAGAGCATTGTAAATTGGATCGTGACAGATATAGTTAGGTTCGAATATAATGCCTTATCATTTCATCTCTCTTTTGACCCATTTCAAAGTTTTAAAAATATTTCCTAATTTCTATCTGAGGTTTTCCTATGCTTTTGTCTAGTCGTTGACTTTTTCCCCTTTGTTTTGAATGGTTTTCTGTATATGAAATATACGATAGGTAGATCCATGGGGATAGTAATTGGATAGGGGAAATAGGAAGCTAATAACAATTAGTATGTCAAGAAAATGTTCTAAAATAGATTGTGGTGATGATTGTCTTACTATGACTGTAAGATGAAATTGGATATATGAAAAAAAAACCTACTGTGAGCTAGCACTTCATAATTACTAATAGGGAACACAGACAATAACAAGTGTTGCTAAAACGTGGAGAAAATGGAATCCTTTTCCAATGATGCTGAATATATGATTACAGAAAACTGTCTCTTGGAAACAGCTGGCAACTCCTCAGAAATCTAGATATATATTTTCTGATTTATTTTGGTATTGTTCTTTTGTTGTCGTATGTTTTTCTTTATATGAAATCCGGAACAGATAAGTCTGTGGACATGATAGTTGAATTACTAGTTTCTTGGGGTTGGGAGAAAATGGGGAGCTAATTACAAGGAAGAAGAAAATGTTTAAAATTGATTGTCGTGATGATTGCACCACTTTTTGTCAATGTGTTTAAAGCTATTGTATAATATGTGAATCATGTGCCAATAAAACTTAAAGTGACATAGTGCAGAAGATTTGGCAAGTTAAAAAAATAGAGTCTAATCTAACAGTAGCTTCTGAGAGGATCTGCTAGGCCAAGTAAAGTCAAGGTAGAAGTGAGGTTAGGTTATGGCAACTGTTTCTTAGGGTAATTTTGGCAGATTTTCTCAAAGGACATAGGATTATCACGGGAGTTTATTAGGAAGTAAGTTTTGTTTTTTTAAATGGGAAATTGTGTTGGTGAAAAGGGGCCAAGAAAGGTGATGCTGAGGAAGTTTTGAGTCTCTCGACAATACACCTGCTCACCCTTTCAGAGTAGCAAAGACTGGTAGAATTTCACTGATAAATCTTACCCCATGCGCTCCATACCCTACACCTTCTTGTTCCCCAGACTCAAAGGATATTGGAAAAGAACGCAGTTTGAGCACCTCGAGGGTACCACAAGGACTGTTTTAATGAGGCACAATTTTAAGAGCACAGAGTTCTTCAGGGAAGGTTCGAGCTAGAAACACCATTTTCAGAAGTGTACAGACCTGGGTAAAGCATATGTTGAGAAACAATAACTTCCTTCATATTTTGATGCTCATTTAGTAAAGGTTGTTTATTATTTTGTAGCAATGCTTTTTGACTTAAGCTAGGACAACTAAAAACCACCTGCCATTTTCATGTGCTCAGGACCACATATAAGATATTGCAACAAAAACTAAGCCTATGTCTAAAGTTTGCAAGAAATACTGAGGAAAATGGAATTATGTAAAAAAGTGTGATCAGCCAGAACCAGGGGAAAACATTTGTGAGACACATGGCCCAGCATCCTCACAAATACGTGGAACGGGGGCGAGGGGAACAGATAGAATATGGGAAAATAGAAGGAAAACTGTTAAAGACTAAGAAAGACACATCTCCAACATATAGCATTTTGAAGTCTAGTTCAAACAAACCAATTGTAATAGACACTAAAGAACCACACTCACTGCCATCAAGTCAATGCCAACTCATAGTGACCCTACAGGACAGGGAAGCACTGTCCCTGTGAATTTCCAAGACAGTTAACTCTTTACGGGAGCAGAAAGCCCCCTTTCTCCCACAGAGCCGCTGGTGGTTTCAAACTGCTGACCTTGTAGGCTGCAGCCCAATGAGTAACCACTATGCTACCATGGCTCCTGTAATAGACATCAGATATTTTTAAACACAATCAAGTTAAGTATAAAAAGAAATGTTTTGTAAAGTCTGTAACTACTAAAGATGAATATGGTATAAAAAAATCACAGCTGAGATTTGCTTTAAAAATATGGCTACATAGGCGTTCAGTATATTATCTAATATATCTGAACTAATAAAAAAGTGAGAGAAAGCACACATTAGGTATACTTCTTACTATCAGGCAGACCGTTATAATCTTGACTATGCTGGATCAATCTTGATACTTTGCCAGTGGACCTCACTAAAGGCACAACGTAAATTTGTTCTGGGTACAAGTATCTCTTAAATTTTCCACGACAAAAATTGGGGGGTCTTCTCCCTCACGCATTATTTGTATTTTTGTCTTTATAAGAAAATGATCTTATCTTTACCATCTGGGTACAATTTGTTTTTCATTGTTTTCTGTGGGGTTTCCCAGCTGTGAAGCACAGGAGGAGTAGAGGTATAATGATAATAACCGATATAAGGTGTTACAGGGAATGTAAGGGAGGGAGATTGGGTGATAGGGAGAGGAAGGGGAGTTTGGGAGTAAATGATGAAGGCAGGAGGAGGAGGGAGCACTGAAACTGATCATGATTGCACAGCTCAATTTAAAGGTGATTTAACCATGGGTGTGTGTTTATGTGTGTAAGATAAGTGTGGTGCTGACTGTGCAATTCCCCTTGATGATGGAACCACTGAATTATTCAACTGTATGATACATAAATTGTATGGAAATAAAAATGTTGAGGAAAAAAAAAACATATATATTGCTAGAACATTTAGCACAGTGAGAGCTCCACCCCCAAAATGATTTATCAAAAAACCAAAAAACAAAGAAAAACCCCAAAACACTTAGTACAGTGCTTCCCACGGGGGGGGGGCAAAACACGCAAAAGCAACTAACCTATACTTTATCCTGGAAAATGAGTTATAATACACGTTTAATAGCTAGGTAGGTGCTGAGCATTTTTCTCCCCTTACTAAGGAATGTGGATTCAAATAAATTGGGAACCTATGACATAACAGAAGCAATATTCCTAATCCCTTTCACTTCCAATTCCATATAAAGTCAGTATACAGTTAAAGAACTAATGCCAGTGAAAATCATGTAATGTGAAAACAAAAACCATCTTACCATTATTCTGTTCAACTGCCATGAGATTATGTTTGGCTTTTACGTTGGCCTCAAATGTGTCGACGTTCTCTCGTTCATACTCTTTAACATCAGCAGCTACCCGTTCCAAAATATCATCTGGAGAAGGTGATCGTGTACGAGTACTGCTCTGGGGGCTGCTTGGTTCAGATGGCACAGACATATTGCTATCTTCGGCAAGGTATTTATATTTCTGAAATAACAATATAATGTTATTTTCATAAATTTGGATCTATCTGAATGTTAATTTGCTAAAGACTTTCTGCATTGAAAAGTTACACAAGTGTCTAACAGTGTTTCTGGTTTTTTTTAAAAAAAGTTTTAATCTCTTGGGTTGAATCAGATCCACAATCCCTTTTATATGTAAAGCCAAATTTCACAAACTTCTGAAAAAGTTTTTTTTTTTTTTAACTTGGTGCAGAACTTATTAGGTGGCAGCAAAATCTGACCAGATGTGAAGGTCTTTAGCCTTACTGTATCCTCTCAGGGTGACGATTAACAGGCTTCACTAAACAAATACTCATGTGTTTGATTATGGGATGCTGCTTCCAAAACTCATTGATGTTAACATACACATATGTGTTAACATATACACATTGGTGTTAACATACACATATGCACCATATTACCTTTCTACAATTCAAAAATTTCTGGGTTCTGAAGAACATCTGGCCCAAGGATTGGAGATAAGGGATTGTGGACCTGGGCAAGAACAAAAGAAAATTCAACCATGTCTTCAGGGATATCAGTTTAAGCACAATTTTACTACAAAAGCCAGTTTCCTTGAGCATTTCTGTTGGGCCTTTATAAAAACCACCACCTGAAAACTTCTGATTATTTATAGTACTTTGGACACTCAGCTAATTCAGGTTCTTTCCTTCTCTGTGATCCGCCATGTGCTATCCTTTTTATAGTATCCAAATCCATTTTTGATCTTTTCTAGAATTCTCTCTTCATCCCATCCCTCACTTTCCCATTCTCATGGAGAAAATTCTGGAAGATCACCAGAGAATTCATTTTCCAGGGTTTGACAGTCCACAAAGTATCTCCTGACAATCTCCACAGCAGTAAACAGTTATCATGATCTTGTGTAACCTTTATCTATACCACATTTTATTAAACGGCTCTAAGACCCAATCTCAGTCTTCTTCAGCTTTAGTAACTTAAATCTAAATCTCACAAAGGATTTTATATATTTCCCTCCCTTTTCAAACCTGTTCATTGTCACTACTAGGTTACTTTGTTGAGGTAAAAAATACCTTCAATTTACTAGAATGATTAATAGGAAGATTGATCAAAATTTTATAAGAATCACATACTTGAACAATCGCCTGCCTTTGTATTCTTCTCTGTTCTATTAGAGCTTCTTCATCTTCTTCCTCTACATCAAAGTCTTCAAGGCTTTAAAAAAAGTACATATAATGTAACTTCAAACATTGTTCCAATACCCAAATTCACCCCTAAGTCCATTCTGACTCTTAATGACCTCAACAAAGCACCCCAAGCTACCCCACAGGGTTTTCAAGGCAGACTCTCCTAGGAATCGGATTACAAATGACTGAGTTTTGGGTTAGTAGCAGCCAAGTCATATACATTTTAATAAAAAGGCTGGGAAATGTAGGTCATCATGAAACTTCTATGTCTTAAAAGTGATCTTATTTCCTGTCTCCTTTGTTGGGGTTGAGAATAAACAGCAAAAATACACACCAATTCCAGTTTCTACATGTACAATTCAGTGTCACTGGTTATATAACCATTCGCCACACAACCTTTCTCATCCTCCTTTTCTGAGCTGTACCTCTACCATTAACATAAATGCATCACCCCCTAAAATCCTTATCTAATCTTTCAAGATATAGTTGTCAATGTGACACCATATAGGTCAGGCGTCTTCAAACTGCGTCCCGCCAAGGACAATTATCCGGCCCACCGGGTGTCCTTGCCCTTTTTGTGTTTTTTTTTTTACTTCAAAATAAGATATGCGCAGTGTGCATAGGAATTTGTTCATAGTTTTTTTTAAACTATAGTCTGGTCCTCCAACGGATCTGAGGACAGTGAACTGGCCCCCTGTTTAAAAAGTTTGAGGATCCCTGATATAGGTAGATGCCAAAACAAAAAACAAAAACACATGCTTTCCTTCTGATCCTGTACAGCTGCTGAGGTAATCGTTAAACCTTAAAATCCTTTAAAAATTAAACAAGGTATAGCTTTGGTGGAGGTGTGATTTTGGTCTTTCAGACGGTACCTTCAAGGAACTAAAAGATGGTGACTTGAGTCCCCTACTCTACACTAGAGTGGAGACTCAGAATACCTATCATCTGAATCCTGTAACAGAGAGCTTCCTCTAGACCGGGACTATAACCAACAGCATCACTTTAGAATTTACAACACATCACAAAAGGGAAAGGCCTATAGTAATTGACAACATCTCACATATGTAACAAATAACCAGCAACAGCATCCTTAGCTGTCAGGGATGCAAATCAAAACCACAGTGAAGACTGTGGGATGACTTAAAGACCAAACAAACAAACAAACAAACAATAACACATTGGTGAGAATGTGGGCAACTTGGAACCCTACCTCACTAGTGGTAGAAATGCACAATGGTCCAGGTATATAAGTAAGGAAACAGTAGAGAGAGACTTCACAAAATACGATGTATGGCTCAGCAATTCCATTCATATACTCAAAAACAGACTTGAAATCTAATGAACTTATGAAAATATACATATTCATCTTTACTTGTCGTCAGAATGGGTATCTTACTCTACCTTAAAGTTCTGCCCGGTCTCCCTTCTTTTGTTTCTCATAGAACTTCCCTCTCTCCACTTTATTTATTTTTCAGATAATGTTCCATTTAGACAACCAAGTTTGTATTTAAAGAGGTCAGGGTCACAACGAAAGGATGGTCTAATAGTCACCCTACTCAACACTAAAGCCTTAAATTAGAAAACTCAATACTTGTTAACACGATGTACAAAAGTTAAATTCAGGGCCAAAATAATAGAGCCACTTAGAATATGTGGGTAGAATTATTAAAAGCTTCCCAAGCCAAACAGTATTTCTCTAAACTGAAAATATGAAATTGTTACAGAAAAATCCATTCTTACTTATCATCAGATGAAGATTCCTGCTCAATTTTCATTCCTTCAGACAGACTTCCTTTAAATTTATCTTCCTTTACTTTACTTCTGCTCCTCCGTCTCCGGCCACCGCGAGATCGAGACCGCCTCCTTAAACGTGACCTGCTCCTCCGACTTCTGTCTCTGTTTGAAGAAAAAGAACATTATTATTAAAATGAAAATGATAACCAAGTACCAGAAATATTTGCCTCATGAAAACAAAAATACAGCCACTATGCTTAGCTAAGAATAAGAGCCCAATAGAAATAGACAGGTAAATAAGTCAGGAATACAAAAGACCGATATCTAGTAAAGAGGTAAAAGCAGAAAACCCCAAAGGTGCATAGGAAAAGGCCAATATCCTCCCTGCCCACTGGTAACATTTCTAACAGAATATTTACAATTAACTGGAGAGGTAATGGCCCTTAGGGAAACTCGCACAAGGCACAGGGGAGACAATGTACTGAAACATAGACGGGGATCAAGTGGAAGTCTATTCATGATCAATGACTAACTAGCAGTCTTTGGTGGCCAGGCCTATAGTCCACAGCAGAAGATGAGAGAATTCTGAAAATTTCCCAATCCAGGCACTGGTATCCAGTCACTGGGTGACACAAATAAATGGCAACTAGCTAAAAGTGTGGCAGTTTGAACTCAGCCAGAAGTGTCGTGGAAGACAGGCTTGGCAATCTCATAGTCTTGTAAACTCTATAGAGTAGTTCTACTGACACACATGTTGATTGCCATGAGTCCCCTTAAAGTGAAACCACCAGCTGACAAATTTTACACATGTAAACAAGAAGCCCTGGTTGCATAATGGTTGAGAGGCTGGTTGGTAATTCAAAGGTTGGACGCTCCACTCATCAGCTGCTCTGTGGGAAAGATATACTCTGTCCTATATGAGAGCTATGAGGTACAATAGACTCAAAGGCACAGAACACTATACATTCACACAAGGCTTCATTCAGCTTTCTTAGTACCTAATTAACTTTTAAATCTACACACACAGCCAATCAAGGGTGCCTGTTGTTTGAGGAATCTTCAAATCCAAGGGAAACAGCAAAAAAAAAGATCTGGGTACATATAGAATATAAGGGAAAAAAAGGAAATCATAATGCACAAAACCCACCTAAAAATCAGTGCTTTGAACTGGTTCATTTCAGTTTGACCCTATGCTGGGAATCTGCCTTTCTGAGCTAGATACATTAAACCCAAACCTCCAGTTTAACAAGATCCTTAGGTGATCCTTATTTATCTTAAAAAGCTGTAGATGCTATTTAGTGTATTTGGGATAACAAGGTTATTTAACAAGATCCTTAGGTGATCCTTATTTATCTTAAAAAGCTGTAGATGCTATTTAGTGTATTTGGGATAACAAGGTTAATTCTCAGCGAGGGATGCAGTGTTATGTGTGTAACTGGTATAAACTAGTTCAAAATCCTGTACAAAATAAACTCATCATCTGATAGATGAGATATTAATCCTATAAAAGAATAAAGTCAGAAAAATAAACCTTAAAGAAATTCTTGGAAAAATTTTAAATGAGTGCAGAAATAATAAGAAAATCTAAAGGAAGGGTGAAAAATAATAAGAAAATCTAGATTTGAACTATGTTGGGGTTTTATAAAAAGTTGATGGAAAATTCAAGTATGGGGGGGGACATTGGACAGTGTAACATATGACAAAACAATAACAATTTATGAATTATGAAGGGCTCATGAAGCAGGAAAAATGAGGAGCCAATATTAAGGGCTTAAGTAGAAGGTTTGAGAATGATGATGGCAACAAATGTACATATGTGCTTGATACAATGGATGGATGTATGGATTGTGATAAGAATTGTATGAGCCCCCAATAAAATGATTTAAAAAAAAAAATCAAGTATCTTTCAATTCAATTTTTCATTTTTTCAAAAACGTTTTGAAGCTCCTTCGTAGAAAATGAGGGCAAACATTAAAGATGAGTGTGAAAACCTGGGGGACAATACAGAAACGTCCAATGGGACAATATAGGCAGTATTAGGACCATTTTCAAAAATACAAGAAAAATTGCCGAGAATTGGAGGCCGTAACTCTACCTGAGCCAAAGCTTAAAATGCTGAAGCAAAATAGAGGAAGAAAACCCACACACCAAGGCAAATCACAGTGAAATGTTAGAGCACCTTGATTTTTAAAGAATATAAACAAATAATTATGAAAATTCCAGTAAAGAAAATGCAATTCACAGACAGTGTTCCTGGTATCTCAAAAGCACTACTGGGAATCTACACATCAAAAGAGCAATTTTTAAAATTCCTAAGGGAAAACTATTTCAAATTAGAATCCTTTCCCTTACTATGTTAGCAATACGAATAAAAGTCATTTTTAAAGACATAAAATTTCCCTTCCATGCACATCTGGAAATTACTGAAAACACACTAATAGAGCAAGGGCATGAAACTATGAAATGACAACACTAGATCTAAGAAATGAAATACAATACAAGTGAGAAACAAAGGAATATACAGATGATGGAAATCAACAATAAAATTGTTATCAAGTCAAAGAACAACAAATCGCATGAGGACAACAGTGTAAACAAGCCTAGAGATCAGTCTTAAGCTTCACTCCAGCATCCCTTCCCAATTCTGCCTTCACCCCCGCCCCCACTATTAGCAATAATCTTTACATACACCTTGCAATAATTGTACTGACTGTGGAAGCATACAAAAATGTGATGAAACGAGGCAGGAGAAATTGTAGAAAAATCACACTGTTCAAAGTAGGAAATAAACACTTAACACAACACAATTAAAAAAAATGTGAATTTATATACAGTCACACAACACACACTACATTAAGAGTACAATAGATGCCATCTTTGGTCTTTTGTCTTTTAAAACTATATTCACGTTATTACACTTCAATTAAAAATGCTACAAGGGCTGTGAAACAAATGTCCATTGATGTTTTAGGTTACAATGTATAATTTATTGTGGGTATTTAAAAGAAACTTCTGCCTTAAAAATGAAACTTTTGGATTAACCATTCAACTACTAAGTGTTTCAATTGGTTTCTACTATAAATGTCTTAACTATAGGTCTATATATTAAATTTACCTGAATGAAGAGCTTAAGGAAATAGCAGCTTATAGCCTTAAAATCATAAAATGCCAGGAAACTAGGCTACATTTTTACTAACCAACGATCCACCTTGCTAGTTTTACAACATAGTTTCTAAATCTAGCTCATTTCAGCATTTCCCTCTTATCTAGTTTTCAAACAAACAACATATGACACATCTTTACCTTCTCCGAGGAGATCTGCTTCTTCTTCTCGGAGACCTGCTACGTCTGAGAGGGGTACGAGATCTCCTTCTAATCGGAGATCTACTTGCTCTTCTTCGGGCTGGAGACCACCTACTGATGGGGCTGACATCTTTGGATCTTTCCCGTCTACTCAGGATATCATCTCGAGGGCGTGTTCTTAAGGGGACCAAATGCATATTCATGTAAAAATAAAATCAAACAACACGAGCTTCTTCCATGTAGAATGTCTTAGGAAAGACACACTTATCAAGAGAGCTAACACTTGATGCAATTTAATAAGTTAGTGGACCACCATGTAATTTTGGTGTTAATACAAGGTCTATTTCCTTAAGCCTTGTAATTTGATGGTGAATGAAGCGTCATGCTGTTAGAGCCTACAATTCAATTGCAGATAAACAGGACAGACAAAACATGTCCAAGTGAGTGCTACTATTGGCTTTCCACAATCTGATGTCTTTTTAATCTGTATTTTGACATTCTGCAGTAAGAGACTTCTGTTAATGCAAGGTAAGAATAACAGTATCTAGAATCAACCTTAACCTTATAACTTAGCAAATACAGTGTTCTTTTTAGTCTTTTTATACCTGTATTATTTTAATAGGATTTTCTCTACTTCATTTTTTTTTTTGAACATTGTTCCAGATTTAGATAGGATTATTCACCCTGAATTGTAGGGTAGCCTATAAATAGGGCTATTTCTGTGGTTAAAAAGTAAAAAGTTAAACCTTACTAGTGACCTGGAAAATTTAGATTAAAAGACAAAAGTGCAAAATGATAATAAATGATATTCTGGTTAAAGGTGTGTAAGAAAGACCCAATCCAGAGATCAAACTAAATTATCATAAATTTTAAATAAGGAAATGATTAAGCAAATTATTTACAGCTACACAATGAAATACCAGAATGTGTATGTATTGTCATGGAAGTCGTTAACGGAAAAAAAGCAAACAGAGCCTACAAAGCCCTCAGAGCTAATTTGTGGTAGCCATACTATAAAGGGTCGCCAGGAGTCATAATTGGCTTTATGGCAGTGAGTTTTGTTTTAAAACAATGTCTCTACAAAAAACGAGTGTCTAGAGCACACTGAAAACAAATCCACTATCATTTTGCCAATTCTGACCCATAGCTCTACAGGACAGGTTTGAACTGCCTCACAGTTTCCATGGCTGTTAGTCTTTACCAATGCAGACTGGCACATCTCTGTCCTGCAAAGTGGCCGAGTGCTTGAAACACTGTGCCACCAGGGCTCCTTTACTATGTAACAAAACATTCTTCAAATTCCTCTAAAAATATGATATAAATCTCAGTAAACCTTGGGATGCTAACTGCTGATGTCAGCAGTTTCAAATCTCCAGCTGGTCCGAGAAAGATGAGACTCAGAAACCCACAGGCCCAGTTCTACCCCGTCCTGAGTGGAAAACAATTTAATAGCAGTGAGATTGTTTTTTTTTTTTGTAGTGTTAATATGGATATAATGCCTAGGAATTAATAAAACCTTTGCACCACTGGTGGCGCTGGAGGTTAATTGTTGGGCTGCTAACCTACGGCCAGCTGTTCAAACCCACCAGACACTTCTGTAAAGATTTAGAGTCTAGCAAATTCTACACACAGTAGTTATGAAAAAGGACAATGGGCGTGTGTTTTGGGACTTCTGCAAAATGTAAGCTGACAGTTATGATGAGAAAAACTTCATAATGCCCAACTATTTAAAACCAGTTTTGAAAAATCAGTTTCTAACAGTTTAGTCTGGCCTAATAATTAAAAACAAACAAACCACCTTTCAGTACCTCAATTCGAGCTTTGATAAGCATTACTATCCCGTGCAAGATATTTATAAACAGTAAAATAAAAATTAGTGTCCCTTTATCTCAAGAGTGAAGCTAGTCCATTGAGAATTTTTAAGAACAAACTTTCATAAACTGAAGATATTACTCAAATACAGACTATTATTATGGGTACAAAACAAAATCACTTTACAGTTCTTCCTAAACATCTTGACATGAAATTATATAGTAATAGAAAAACCCATTTTTTTAGAACTAAAGTACACTAATAGTTTCAATTTATAGTTAAAATTCAAAATCCTGTAAATAAGGAGAAATTTTACAGACAGATCTTTCTGTCCATGTATAGATACTTATTATTAAAAGTTTCTGCAATAATGTTCCTTCCCCAATGACTTATTACCTAAATTATTTGGATTTAAAGAAGTGATTTAATAAACTAGATAGATCAAAATAAATCCTGAAATTAAAAACAGATTCTATTGCCAAGCTCAATTTTTAGAAAACACCCAGAAAAATCAAGATATTTGATACAAATGCAAACGAGCATGGTGAATTATACATAAAATTCACAAAGCCCACCATAGCTCACCTTTAACTGTCCACAAATTCTAGTTCTCCTTTAATATCAGATGCCTTAGTAAAAAGCATTAACAAGTTACCTTGGAGAAGAGAGTCTCCTCCTATCAGGTTCTCTTCGTTTTCTTTCTAAGGACCGGCTCTTGCCTCTTCTACCAGGAGACAGAGTGCGAGAGGGGGATTTGCTCTGCTTTGATCTTCTGTCATTTAAAAATGGAGATCTACTTCTTCTTGATTTATCTCGCTGTTTGGGTGATAAACTTCGTCTTTTAGGACTGCGACCAGGTCTTCTAGTGGGGGATCTGTTTTCTTTCCCAGAAGAAGCATCTTTAGAGGGAGACTTCACTGGCTTCTTCTCTTTATCTGTTTCAGAGCGTTTTGATTTTCTCTCTTTAGACCTTGACCTTCTGTCTTTAGATTTACCTCTTAAATCAACCGGGGATCTGGATTTTTTGGCTCGATCCCGACTTCTACTTTCATTTATAATTGGGGACTTTTTCCTATCTTTTGCCTTACTTTTATCTTCTATTTTAATCTTATCATCATTAGGAGATCTAGGCTTCCCAATTTTCTCTTGAGATCGCCTTCTAAGGGTAGGGGACTTGGATTTTCTTGCTTGATCTTGAGATTTACTTCTTTTGGATGGACTTTTGGACTTTTTCCTCTCCTTTGACTTGCTCCTAGTTATTTTCTCTTTAACTACTTCACCTCCCTTGTTTTTTTTTTTATCAGATCTATGCCTAGCCCGTTCTTTGGATCTGCTTTTACTTCTTTTTCTTGCACTATTTTTATTGTCCACAAGTTCAAGTTTCCCCTTCATATTTGAAGATCTAGTACTAGACCTATTTCCATTTCTGGCCTTTTCGTGAATCTCTCCTTCTTCTTCAGAGCCAGACTCATAACCTTGTAATATCAGTCCCATCCCAGACTGGACCTTTCCTTCCATTAACTCATTATCAAGTTCAGCTTTAATCAAGGCTCTCTGTTTTTCCAAATCTTCTAGCAAAGCTAAATCATCAAGTTTAGTTCTTTTTGCTGGAGACAAACCCTCTTTGTCAGAAACATCAATAACCTCTTTTCTTTTGTGTTTCTTATGTTTATGCTTATGTTTATGTTTTTTATCCTTGTCTTCTTCTGAGGAATGTTTATGTTTCTTATGCTTGCTTCTGTGTTTATGCTTCTTTTTTTTGTGACGACTATGTTTATTTTGAGACTGGTCTTCCGAAACTTCTCCATTTTCTTCATTTATGCTCTTTTCAGAATCAGCATCTTCTATGCTATAAATATATCAAACACATTTTGAAATCATTTATCATGTATTCAGAGTTGTAACAAAATAACAATGATAAAATAATATTTCAATGCAATATATAAAATTACAAGTATTTTATTGCAAAAGTATGTATGAACATGGCAAGAACTCAACTGGGTTTAATAATGATGTCAATTTCCTTCCAGTGCGTAAAGTCGTATCAAGGTTTTTATAGGAAATGTTTAATTGTGGGGAAAGTAAAATATTACAGTTAGTAGAAAAAGGAGATCCAAACCAGATATTGTAAAATTGTAGATTTAGCTAAAATTTTTACAGCAGGATTCTCACACATACTTAAGGTGCCCCCTCAAATTTTCCTTTTTCCCACAAAACACACTGACATATGAGGGAGCTTCAAAAAGTTCATGGGACTTATATTGGGTACTAATATCTTTCTCCATTCGCCATTCAGAAAAATGCTAATGTCATTACTAGAAACCTAGCAGATAATTTATTTCAAGTAGATTTCATCTTATAATTTCTGTATTCTTACATTTCTAGTGCCAATATTGATCTATAAACAAAATAAGCTATCTTATTTGGCTCAATAAGATTGCTGGATTTTATTAAGCACTGATGGATGATATTAACATATTCCCATGAGTTAGAACCTTAAGAAAAAATGACATCTAGTATCTGTCACAAAACAACGTACTTATTAGGCAGAACATGTAGAAGTTTCTTTTTTGCAGGTTACAATCAGTCAAATACCTGTGATTTATGTTTCAACCTATTACATAGTTCAACAAATTTGATTGGGCTGCATCTGATTAGTTTCCCCAAATATGTTCATATTAATAAACGAAAAACTAAGTACTACCGTCAAGTAATTTCCAACTCACAGGGGCCCCTTAAGACAGAGTTGAACTGCTATTTCCAACAAGACTGCAAATCTTCACATAAGCAGACTGCCTTATCTTAATCTTACTCCCCTGGAGTGGCTGGTAGATTTTCTGATTTTTTGGTTAGCAACCCAACACTCAACCCATGATGCCACACTAAGGTTCCTTTCGTAGTACAAGCTATGCAAATAAATAAATAAATAACTTACGAGGGGGTTCTGTGTCCAATATTTGAGAAATACAACATCCAATTCTATAACCATCTTTCCAAACCAAACTCACTACCATCGAGTCAATGCTGACTCATAGCGACTCCTGTGGATTTCTTGGACTGTAACTGTTCACAAGACCAGAAAACCAGTTTTTCTCCAGAGGAGATGCTGGTGGTTTTGAACTGGCAACCATGCAGACTGCAACCCAACCTGTAACCACTACACAACCTGGGCTCCACAATCACCTTAGAGCCCATTCAACTATCCTTGTCTTGCTCTCAGTTCCTCTCCGCCATCACAACTTACAGCAACCCTTTGAGACAGGGTAGAACTGGCCCTATGTGTTTCTGAGACTCTTTACCAGAGCAGAAAACCTGGTGGTTTCAAACACCTGACCTTGCAGTTAGCAGTCTGACCTGTAACCACTATGCCACCTGGGCTCCAAATTCCAACAACAGCCCAAACTAGCTGCCACTGACTCAAGGTGACCCTAAACTAACTCAGCGTGACCCAAAGTGAATTTAATCCTTAAATTCTCATTTGCAGGCTCTAGCCAAGGAGCCCTGGTGGTGTGGTGGTTATGCATTAGGTTGGTAACCTCAGTGCCAGCAGTTCAAAACCACCCAGCCTGCTCCATAGGAGAAAGATGGAGCTTTCTATCATAAAGAGTTTGTCTTGGAAACTCAAGGGGCAGTCTGTGAGACAGAATTGACTTGATGGCATGGAGTTTGGGTTTGTTTGTTTTCGCTTTAGCCATAAAGAGATGTGCCCACCTCTCAAACCAAATTTCACAGAAAATAACGATCAAAGTCTACATCAGAAAGACTTGGACCCAGTAAGTCTACAGCATATTACATATAATGACCTCTTAATTTTATGTTCACTATCAATGACTTTCTGCTAAAAAAGGGAAGGGGAAGAAAAAAACGAGGGTGATGGGGAACAGGGCACTAACACACAGACGGGTATCGTATATGTCTTCACAGGAAAGGGAGAGAGGGACCAGACCCCATGCCAGAGCGCCAAGCCTTGAGGGCAACACACTAACATGGAGCAGACAACTAAAAGAGAGGACGGGGCGGGGCCCACGCCTAGCTATGTTGGTCCTCTCCCCAGAAGAAGGCAATACAGAGGACAGCACTGAAGATATAAGCTGGGGAGAGAGACAGGTCTGTCTAGACCACATGGGAGTGAACTAAGAGGGAGAGAGAGTGAACCTCATCATGGCCCACCAAGCCCCGCAGAGAATATCCCTGCGCCGAGCAGCCAATGCAGGGAAAGGACAGTAAGGTTGGCCCCACCACGAGACACGTTCCCTCACTGGCCCATAGCGCTACAGGGGGCAGCACTGGAGACACTGTGTGGAAAGTGTGCCTGGTCTGTCCCAGGCACAGCGGGGTAAAGCATGAAGGGAGTGCAAGAGGGCAGCAAAGTAACCAAGTCCCCGAGGAATCCTGAAAATAGCCTTCTGACTCGGGGGCTGCCTTGGCACTTCATCAGACTTAACCAGAAAACGTACATCAGGGTTAACAGACAGAAAACAAACAAACAAACAGAACTTTAGGAAATGGTTCCTTCAAAAATCTGATCGTTTTCTGCACTATTCTGTACTGACAGCAATTACAACTGAATTTGAAAGACAGACTATGAGTGTTCAATATTATTTGTCTTTTTGTTAAGTCTACTATACAAGTTTTACTCTTCAAAAAACCCAGGCTATTTAAAATGCAAAGTCATGGAACAATTTTAAAACAGTATTAGTGACTAACCTACTGTCTAGTGCTTACTCCCTCTTTAACATACTTTTTCATCAAACCATATTCTTAATGAATCTTATTTAGGAAATATTCAACCTATACTGTGGAGAAAGAATTGAGTTCTACTCCATCCTACAGGGTCACTATGAACACCAGAATCATTTCAATGGTAGTGAGTTTAGTTTTGGAGTTTGAGCTTATCAATGGAACAATGTGCGAGGTAGACAATTTTTTTAACGTATTCAAAATACTGAGCACAGTAAATGCCACTGCTGCTTTCCACAGAAAGTAACAGTATTGCATCCCTAACAACTTAAAACTACTTTCAATACAGAGTTTATTTAGGTGTAAAATTAAAATGGGTTAAAAGATCAGCCGGTCTTAAACCAAATCTCAATTTCTCAATTCACACTGAAGAAATCAAGTTTCAAGGAATTAAAGACGCCTCATCAAAACTGTACTTTTGCTGAGACTCAAGAAATAAAAATTATTTAAAACCTTACAGGCTATTTTCACAAAACAGCAGCACTCCATAGTGGCAGGCCAGAGAATACAGTAATGAGGAGCAGGATCCTAGAACCACTCAACAAAACAAAACAGATAAAGGCGGGGGCAGCTCCCTGCTGTCAAGTCAATTCTGTCTCACAAGCAGAGTACACGACCGACAGAGCTGAAGTGCTCACATAGGGTTTGTAAGGTTGTCAATCTTTATGAAAGCATGGAGCAGTTAGTGAGTTCCAACTGCAAATCTTTGGGTTAGCAGCTGAATGATTCTTAGAACCCCTCTCCAAATTTAAAGCTTAGGCCTGCCCCTTAATGTGATCTTGTGCAAGTGACTTAATTTCTCTTGTGCCAGTCCCAGCATCTGTAAAACATGGAAAGCGACAGCATCTATCTCCGAAGAGTATAAGGATTAAATGAGTTTAAGGGCTTTTAACAGTACCTGGTACTTAGTGCATTCAAAATGTAGCAATCAAAAGGATCCCTGGTGGCATAGTGGGTTAAGCATCTGAGTGCTAACTGAAAGGCTGCTCACTTGAACCCAAAAACCACTTTGGAAGAAAGATGTGGCAGTTTGCTTCCATGAAGATTTAGTCTCAGAAACCCTACTCTGTCCTTCAGGATAGCTGTGACCATACATTTGGTTTTAGAAATCCATTAAGAGAACGATGAGGGCAATGAATGTACAAATGTGCTTTACACAACTGATGTATTATGGATTGTGATAAGAGTTGTATAATCCCCTAATAAAATGTTTTTTAAAAAAAGAGAAATAAAAAAATCAATTTAAAAGACTGAGGTAAAGAAAATGACAAATTCACACACTACTGCTTTAAAAAGTCTTGGAATTTAACATAGTCTAAAGATACTTCGTTTTTCAACTTAGATACTGTATTCTGAAAAGAATTTAAACCCTATATTTGAACACTAACTGTAAGCACCATGCCTAGTATTCACTTTTGTATCATACTGTGATTTTGCTAAATACACATAAGTTCAAACAGTGACAATGGGACACAATGAAGACCAAATACAATTTTATTAACATTAAGTACTCCATTGGGAGCATAGGGGGGTGCCATTCATACTGCAGTGGCCTAAATATATACATGTTATTTTAAATGCACTATTTTCAAACGAATAAAATTTGCCTTAATTCCTAGTCAAAGCTCATCTGAAACACCACAAAAAT